AAACTAGAGTGTTTTACTATATGGTCCATGGTTTGGGTTACATTGCCACAATCGCACTCCTGTGGCATGTCTTTAATTCCCCATTCATGAACATTGGCCTATGGATGTTTTGGTGCGGTTGATGATTACACCGGTGTCTTCGAGAAGGAATGCCAACGCATGGAGGTGCGATGTTTGGATATCGAATGAGGTGATTGTCATATTTGTGGTCCGTTGACCGTAGCCGATGAAGGCGATGCATTTGGACAGTGTTTTAACAAGTCAGTGCCAGCCCACCAAATGGAACAAATGTTGGCCTGACCAGTTGCCATGTGGCTGCCACGAGATGCCACGCCGTGACTCGCCTCGTGGAATCCCGCATTGCTGTGGTGGCGATGGTGGCCGCAGTGGTGGTAGTGAACGCTGTGCATTTGGCAGCACAAGTGGAGAGGCGCCACTTTGAGAGGCAGACGTTTACTTTTGGGATTTATCTTGAGGATCAAGTGTCGGCCTGGGAGATGTCGCCCACCTACTCCCCCGTAATCTGTCCCCGCCCCAGCAAACGGCCGCTCCTCCCGGCATCCCCGCACCCCACACCACTCGGTGTGCAGCCTTCTCCAGTCACCAGTCCTCATCAAAAATAATCATCATTAGCAGATGATATTGGTTAATTTCCTGTATTTGCGGCCCTGTGAAGGCCTATTGTTTTAGCAACAGTGTGCAATGCAGCTACAGTAAATCCAATGTTGTACTGTACTATGCGCTCGCTGTCTTTGTTTCCCACCCTCACCAACCGGCACTGGTCAGGATGGTAAAGTGGTCAAATTATCTACACCGCTCTCCACGGCCATGGAGAGGCTCTCATCCAGCAGTGGATTTGCAAGTATTTTTCTCAAAGAAAGAATATGGGAGAGACATAAAAATAAAACTTAAAAACAACTTCAAGGATCATAGAAAAAATATTGACCGTTCACCACCACACTGGTCAGTGCAGGTCGGTTCGGGGAGTCTAGGACGATATATATCACTTGCTACAGGTATTAGTACTGTCCAGGAATTTAATTCAGGTCACAGGATTCATCATGCAGTTCACGAACCACTGTGCCAGCACTTCTCACCCCGTTTGTATAATAGATGTAAAATGCGAGATGGAGGGTTACTATGTCACGCTACAGCTAATAACAGTGAGATGAGCAGGCTTACAACTAATCTACAACTCGCATCGTAACAATAGCCTGATTACTAATCTAGTATATAATTACAATCACTCCCCCCTTGAATCTTGGCACCTGATGAGTTAATGAGTTAATGATGACGTCACCCTGCTGCTGCTCTATATAAGAACGGGAGACACAGGAGAACCTCACCATTCTGGCGAATTGCCCGATGATGCTGGTTGCAATTACCAGCGAAACGTCGTACTCAAATTGTAAATGTTGTGGCTTCAACACACCGGTGGGCTAAAGCAGTGAACTATTTGTCTTTGTCAACATGACACTTTTTTACTGATTGGCCGTGTCGGGTGGTGGAGGGTTACGACACATTTATAAATAAACGCGATCTAAACCCAAAAACGTTGATTATGAATTACAATTCATATTAGTCATTTGCAATTTAAAAAAAAATGCTTTGTCATCTTATTATATGCCAGGTAAATTAACATTTTAAATGTGGCAGTTTGTGTGCACCTGGGTTTATTATGTCTTGGTGGGGAGAGAGGTTTCATGATAAAATAATTCATGCAAAGTCAGATCTTGTTGTTTGTAACTATGGCATTTCACGGACAGCGTTTTGAAGTTTAAAATTTGAAGATTGAAAACCCAATGTTATTAGTATTTGTGGAAAACCTAACCGACATCTCAAACCAGTGTCAAAATGCTGCCACCTGCTCAAACAGTTGGGAGTCTGCTTTTTTTCCTAAACATCATTACCTACTCCACTCATATATGCCAATGGATTTGAGTGACAGCCTGCAGATGGTTGAACCGCTTTATTACCTCGCACTGATATTAAAAACAAATTGCATAATTTGCTGTACTTTGTTTTTATGAAGCGGTCCAGTTTCCTTCGACAATTGCTGATGGGGTTTAAGAGTCGGCAACCCTGCCGCTTAAATCGGTAGGGCAGGCGAGTCTCGCGGCACCACCGTTATTACGCGCTGTTGGTAATCGGAGCCCCGAGCTGTTCTCCCACGTGACGCGTGTGTTCTCCTTCACTGGGCCGGGCGGGCGGGGGAGCAGCGGAGGATCGGGCGAGCAGGCGAATGAACGAGCGAGCTAGAGCACAGGCGGGTGGGCAATCGGGGACTCATGGGTCGGCAATCAGCAGAACAATAGGGGGTGGCAGGGGGGTGGCGATTAGACGCAGAGAGCGGTGGTGGCGGCGATAACGGAGTGAGATAGAGAGGGAGCGACACCACGCCCTGAGCCGCTATTCTCCCCCGCCACTGCCCACCGCCGGGTACAAGGGTGAGCCACGCGGCATGCGCTCGAACCGTTGCTACCACGCAGCAGCGGCGGCAGCGGCAACAGCAGCAGCGGCAGTGCCCGAGTGAAGGCAGCCGCCTTCCCTCGCGCCGCAATGCTTCCCTTTACTGCGAAGGAGGTAAACGCACTGTTACTCGCTGCCGCTCCGCTCTTAATACACGTCCTGCCGGGTCGGGGGGGGGGGCGTCTCTTGCGTTGCGTTGGCGAGCCAGCAAAGTTGATCACGTGGCGAGCGTGGACTTGTTTTTATGTGCGTTATGATTGAATGACAAGCTTGTGGTAGGTAGTGGGAGTGTTTGGTGATGGTGTTGTTGGTGTCGCTGCTGTTGTGCTGTTTTTGTGTGATGTCTCCCAATTGCTTTGTTTAATCGGCGTTGGGTGCAAGCCGATCTCTGCAGTCCTCATGTTTATGTGTCCCTGGGTTCTTCCGTAAGGCTGATGTAGATCAGAGCAACAACTGCAATTTCACATTCAGTTGGTAGCACGTGTTTTAGTTATTGGCCAGCTTGTTTGCCATTAGGCTGATAACAAATGCTGCTGGATGATATTGGTCTGGAAAGCCAATAGCCCAATTACTTAAAATATATAATTCATACATTGAGACACAGAACAAAGGTCTGTGTATAATGGTTGGGTAGTTTCGTGGTTGGAATCTGTTTTTAAATGAATCTGACTTGGATTCTTCATCTTTCGTATGGCTGATGTTGATGCAGTGCAACAACTACAATTTCATATTCAGGTGGTCAAGTCTAGATAACCGCGTTAAGAGCAGCAGAGTGTATCATCGCTGTTCTGGATGACCACAGTCGCACATCGGAGAGTTTCTAATTTTTCCATTTATGCATCAGGTATTTGCCGTGGTTTGTCCGGATGCGGTTTAGGGTTGGACCATTAGCTTTGTGGAATATCAAACCCACCGGGTAATCCTCGCCTCGTCTCTCGGTGGAATTTGCATGTACACATACATTTGTGTGTGCAATGTGCATATCTGAAGAAAAAAGCACATATCTTTGAACGTTTTTACACAACGTAGTTATCTCTCTCAAAGTATTTTGTGTGGGTAAGAGTGTGTACAAACAGTATAGGCTGTGAGTTTGTTGCATCTGAGGGTAAGGATGCATTTGAGGCACATGGGGATTTGAATTTAATTTCAGCTGTACAATTATGGAAATGCTCGCACCGTCATCAGAGATTCCATCATTCAGCAATAGATTGAGAATAGATATTTGATTAAAATATGTAACAGGTGTACAAATGTATACATTAATATATACATTCCATAAACTATATCCGATGGCCTGAAATTTCTGATTGTGATGAAATATGAACGCCGGGGCAGTTATCGTCTCTCCTGCGCCAATGTTTAAAACCCTATCCCAAGTACTAATTTCAGTCTGAGTCAACCTAGAGGACAGGGAAGTCAGGCTGAGTTTTTCATTGCCGCCGGCTTTTGTGGTGAATGGCCAGGTATCAAACCGCAGACCCGTTGAGATAGTAGCGCAGTGCCATGTCCCAGGATTTCTGAAATGCGTCCGTTTGTGCCCCTCGGCAGTGCAGGTATCTTATTTTGATCAGGCACCCGGTGTGCGAGTCATGTAAACATTTAATGTGGATTTGATTGGATAGGGTTGGTACATTTGAATAAGTTGACTGCGAAGGGGGCATGAGTATTTGGAGTTGCAGAAATGCCAGGAAGCGATCGCTGGCCCATCACTCAGAAACTCTTGAAATGTAACACAGCTCCTGTTTAGCCTTACAGAATGGTAGTGTTCTATGAGAGATGGTTATCGTCAGCACAATTCCTTCTTGCCACAGGTACATACCGAATGTTGAAACTCGCGTACCGTGTCAGGTACCTTGTTCAAGCTTGAGCCAGTTAATGGGAGGCCCTCGCTTGGTTCAGATACGATCTTCGACCGGTGTTGTTCATGGCCTACAATCAAATTTGCATTGCCAGCAGCATGTACCGCATATTGTAAACCACTGTGCCACCACTCCATAGAAAACTTGTGCACATCGTATTAAACTGCCCCCTCCCTCATGATCCATGCTGTCAACTAACCTCCCATGTTCCAAGTCCAGGCTTAAGTCTTCCTTTTTTCCTCTGCCAATAACTTCCTCTCCAATCTGCCTCACTATATTCCTGTACAGCATCTTGAGATGCGGTCACATTTAGATGCTGTATAAATCCAAATTGCTCCGTCTTGTATGCGTACGCTCATAAACCAGGACCAATTCTGATTACAGGTCCCAAGTTGATGTAGAACACCGTCATGACCCAGGCATTATGCCTGTGTTGGCAATAAAATTAACATTGTTCTGTGAGAAGTTTACAGGATTCATACTTTCAAGACATTTGCCCATCACTAAAGGACTATAGAACACCTACTAACTGGCCTTCAGGCTGTCAGCGGAGGTGAATGCCGTCGTGAAGCTTGTTTGTACACAAAGACACCTCACCTGGCTTCCGCGAAGCGTCTTCCTTTAATCTCGAGGTTTTCGCTAATGTTCCCATTGCCATTTTGTGTCTTTCAGAAGGAGCTGAGTCTGCCAAGGCGGGGAAGCTTGTAAGTACAACCGCCACGTCTCTCCTACAACGCCCTCCCTTCACAATTGCTGCCCTTTCTCAGGGCATCTCTTTCCGACCCTTTGTGTTTTCTCTCTCTCTCTCTGTGAGTCTTCTTCTTCCTCCTCTTGCGTTTGCTGTCGCAGATCAATATCCAAACCACTCAACCGCCCGCCTTTTACATCCTCGAGTTCAGTCTACCTTTTTGCGTGCCATCTTATGTCCGCCCCAAGGGGAATTCCTGGGCAATGATTGTCAGTGAGGTCGTATCCTGCACATCCGTGCTGTCCATCAAATTCGCGAGCGGCCACCTTTTAGATCACTGTTTTAGTTCAACAGTGGCAACCATTTGCTGTGTGGCTAAGGCAGAGCATCGCAAATGTATTTATTGCCTGATGCTGGACACGACAGAATGCACACGGGATTGCAAATTCGTTGCGATTGCTTTTCCCCATTTTAGACGTTAATTATTTTATCCGATTAGGGCACGCGGCCCGTAATTTCCAGACCACCGTGAGGGATGCCAGTTGATTACGTAAACTTCTTTTTCACCAAATTTCATTTGGCACAGAATGCCACTGCCTCGGGCACTCATTGGAACTCAAAAAGGAGGGCGCGTTTTGCCTCTACAAAATGCCGCACAATCGCACTTCTCGTCAAAATACCGCACGGCGCTGCCGGTGCACACCTATTCAAATCTCGTGTTTGTCCTTCTTCCTGTTTATGTATTTTGAACATCTTTCGCACCGTAACGTAGCCAACCGCGCTAATTGGAGGTGCTTTCTCTGCTAATAATGTACACCCCCCCCCCCCCCCCCCCACTCGCTCATCATCTTCAGCCAGTCCGATGCGGGTGGGAGCTCACACACATACTGCCCCTGCTTTGGATGTCTCAATAGGCCTTCAGTTCTTCTTGTCCATTGTTATGATTAGTTTCCTCGGAATCGGAAGACCCGCCTCTTTTTTTATGATCACCTTTTAACTTCTGTGAAATATCCATTGATCGCCAGCTGGCTGTTTTTTTACGTGTTTATAATTGGTGATATGGTCAATGTACATTTCATCTCCCTCACCTTATACGCAGGATGTCGTCGGTTCGATCTCGACACTGACGATGCCTGTATTATAGTTGGAGTTCGCATGCTCTCTTTCTCTCCCTGTGGTTGTCTGGATTTTTCTCCAGGTCCTCCGGTTTTGCCCTCCCCTTTTCCGAATATGTGTTCAGATCATTTGGCTGCTACTGTAAATTCCCACATTATGATATGAGCCACTTGATGAGCTATCAAATGGTCACCTCTGAAAAACAGCTAATAGCCCACTGGGCTTTAGCTGATAATTTTTAAATATGTAAATTTCAGTCTTTTCTCGAACCTTACGCCTATGACTGTGAACACTTTTACTTGTCTGCAACATGCAAATATACTATGTTGACATAGCTGTATTCATTTTCTTGCTTGAATGTGCAACGTGTAAGACATGAATTTTCATCACACAGCACACTTCTCAACATTGCATTGTCATCTCATCAATACACGCATTATTGATGTAGTGCAAAGCATTCTATAGAGGCACGTAATCCCTTATGTGCATCGTAACCCACCATGTTTATGGTGCAACCTCTAAATAGCTCGAACGGCTGGAGCCTTATGAGCCTGGCCTTGAGAGCCAGCATGCTACACCACATATATAACGGCATAACGGAATAACGGCATAACGGCATAACAGCAACCCGGGAAATAAAGCTCATTCATGTTTTGTCCGAGTGAAGTTTCCGGTCGTCGTTAGCTGTGTGGAAGCCTGAACGCACCAAAACAAACCTCCTTCAAAAAGCCTCCCGTGCTGTGAAACTTTGCAATGATGAAATGGTCCCTGACCGTATCCACCCAGCTCGGCTCAAACGTCGTGCAGCGCCGCAAGGTACAACGGCATGAAAACGCGAATGCCAACGACCTTGCTCGGCGATGAGGTCACTCGCCCACAAGCGCACGCTGTCTTTTGTGACACTTGTTCCTGAAGGCTGTCAACACGGTGGTGAGATGGAGGCAGCGGCCGGCACACGGGGTTTGATTATAAAACACATTGGGTTTTTATGTTAAAATTGTTGTGTTAGTCGATGTGAACTCTAGGCACGATGTCCGGCTTTTGCCATGATCTGCCAATGCCAGTCTTTGTGGCTGTTTATGTCGGTGGGTGAGATCAGCCTGCAGTTGTCTGTGGTCTGACTTGCGTGCTGCCCTGGGTTTGCCCCACGCTGCTGCGTGGCACATTTTTCACGTCGATTTGTTTTTGTGGCGCGATACTCGGCAGCGAAAATTTGGCTGGTGTGCATCTCGAAATGCAATTCATGTAGCACCGAATGAATAGCCCTCCACAGTGGGTGCACATCTCGCTGATCGCAAAGCATGCGCGCTCGTCGTGTCATGGCGCAGACTGAGCCACATTAAGTGCATCGTAAAACCTTGAAGAGTGCAGAGCAATTATGGGATTATCATAGCAATATCATGCAGCTGTGTTCGCACTATTTCTGTGTTGTTTTTTTTACCTTAATTAGTAGAGGGAGATGCTTTATCCAGACAGAGAATCGAGTGATGTAATTTGTTAGCGTTTTCTATTTAGCCCACTGAGCTGGACTCCTTTTCAATGAAGTGACCGTCCTGAGATCATTAAACTCTCGCCACATGAGAACCTGGTTAACCTTGGATGGGTACAAGCGGCTTGAATTCAGGATCTCAGCAGTGCTGGCCAATTGCTTCATGAACATGAATTATACACAGAAAGTGAACAAGTCACCTGTGTGTACGTTTAGTGGCTCGGGTGGCGTTGGGGCGGGGGGATTGAAGCACCGAGTCGGAGAAGCGCTCCGTGATTAAACCGGGTTCCCGAGCATCGTGCATCGATGGTTGTTAAGCCCAGTCATCCATGGAGGGCACTAAAAAGGTCATTAAATAGTTTTTTTGGCACTTAATACGGAAAACTCCAAATGAAAATTCGAAACGTTCGATTGGATAAGGCATGCAACGTATGCTGTCTTCACGGACTGCAAAAGGTGTGCCGCTCGCGTTTGTTGTTGTCACCTTCTGACCCCATGCCCCTACTGGACATCTGTGAAAAAATAGCTTTATTGCTCATCGGATTGCTCCAGTATTAATCAATATTATGATGCTGATAAAGCGACCAATGAAGTGACTTCAGTAGGTGTGCGAGGTCGTCTTTAGGTGCTATTCTCTAACATGCGGTGCGAGAGTTCCCAATAAACAATTTTGTCATCTTGTGGCATAATGCAGATGGATACGGTTGTAATGTTATATAGTATGGGGTCAGGGGAAGCAAAAAAATATTTCCTAGATTCTTAATTGAAATTGCAACCTGCAATTGAAATACCGCAGCTCTTTCGGTGTCTCGCGATCTCAAGTAGATGTGGAGAGCGTGGGCGGACAATGTCGTTTGCGAATCTCTCTCCCCCCGTGAAATTTGTGCAGCGGCGTGGACGTGTCTGTTGGGTTGCGTATCGTTAAGATGTTTTTCTACAAGCAGTGCGGAAAACACCGCGATGCATGCAGTGCGTCGTCGGCAACAGAATAAGCCACCCGTTTAGTTTCACCGCTCACTGCGGCTTTTCGTCAATTGCACGTCCGTAAAACAAAAAAACACGATATTGCATATTCAATTGTTCTAATTAAATGTACCTCCCCCCGTGTTTTATTTTAATTTGTCGCATTTTTCATTTGGTCGTCTTTGCTCGTTTGTTCGTGTCCACTGTTTTTACTGCGTCGTACAGCCAAGGTGCGATTGGGATGTTGTCACTGAAGACCCACAGGTGCAGACAGCTTTGCGTGCAGTAAACACGCACTTTCGATTCAGAGTGGTTCATTGCACACAACATAGTTAATGGTCTATAGTGCCTAGCTCACACGTATATCCTCATTAAAACATATATATGTGTGTCCCGCATATACAATTTCTGGGGCTTCATTGTCAGTGGTGTAATATCACATGCTGAAAATCACCTGCCAGAGTTGCCTTCAGTAGACACCGCCTTATAACCAAGCACATATATATTTACATCTCTTTTGTCAATCCACTGCTGGATGAGGGCCTGCTGACACTGCGCGGGTTGTGGGGGTTATTTGACCGTACTTCACCACGCCGATCAATGTGGGGTTGGTAAGAGTTAGGAGCGTGGACACGTGGACGTAGTGCGGTGGCGAGATGTTAACTCCCTCGCCTGGTGTGCCGGAGGTCGTGGGTTCGATCCCGACCCAAACGCCTCTATATTTGGAGTTTGCATGTTCTCCCCGTGGCGGCGTGGATTTTTCTCTGGGTACTTTGGTTTTTCCCTCCACACTTAAAAAAATGCTTTTACAGTACTTGGCTGCTATAAATGTCCACGTAGGAAGCCACTTCGTTAAGCTGCTATTATTTTTGGCCAGGTTGCTTTGGAAAAAAGAGCTATATAGCTCAGTGGGCCTTACCTGGTCAGATTAAAATAGATTAATTTTTAGTAATACAACTCCGGATTTTTGCTGAAACTCAACCCTTCTGCCGCTTTGAAGCCAAGCCATCGCGAAAATCGCCGCCCATCGAAACCCAGCGGCGGGTCGAGCGGCGTGCCGTGTAAGCACTCACTGTATGCGGTGCAGCGTGGGTTAATCCCGTTCAGCGCGTTGCTCCCGCGGTCCTTACTACCGGGAGTGCAGGGGGGCATCTCGCATTACACGGCGCCCCCCCCCCACCCTGACAGCGAGCACTCTGCCGCCCAACCGTCCGTGGTGTTTTGGGGCCACGATAGGTTAGCCCGAGAGTGCTGGTCATGTTTAATTCATGGAGCCGGCACGAAAGACTTGTCTGCTCGCCGTCGTCCGCTTGAAAGCCCAGCGAATCTCCACTTCCCCCCACCTTCCACCACCCATCCTGTCCCCCCATCCTCCTCCCCCACTCCTGTCCACCACCATCTCCCCCATCTCCTTACACACAATGGCTGAGCTGCGCTTAAAAATTTAA